AGACTGTTAGAAGTAAAAGGAAGGAATATAAAGTTGGTTTATTTGATCAAGGTTAAAATGGGACATTTTTTGCAGACAACCCTTTATGAACTTTTTGCTGACATCAGGATTGAAAAGTTGATGTTTTATGGATTTGCTTATAGATAAGGGAAGGGATAAGGGATGAAGAGATATCTGTTCAATCTTATAGGGGGTGAAGTGTTATTAAATTTGTTTATACTTGTGATGAAGGTTAGAAATCACTTCTTTATATATTTCTTTTCTTTTTCTTTATTATAGTCTCTCTTTTCTTTTTCTTCTTTCTTTTTTTCTTTTCTTGTACTTTTTCTTCTTTCTTTTCATTCTCTTTATCTAAGTTTAGTTTGTATTAGTTTTTAGTATTGTAGTTAAAATTCTTAACAAAAAATATATTTTAAAAAAATCTAACTTTTATTTCAAATGTAATGAATGTCAGCATTCATCAATAGCTGGATTAAGCCCATACCTATATTGAAGACAATGTATCATGAGCATTTTATTCTTTTTAAAGAGGATTTACTGCTACTTAATTACTCAGCATTTTTTCAGTACACTGTTTATTTTCAGGAACACATCCTCTAACAAGGGCTTCTGCTGAATTCAAATCAACAACAGGAAAAGGCACAACTGTAGCAATGCCACCACCCTAATCTGCTGCATCATTCCAGATTTTTGTGATCATCTAGTACTGTTTCAGAAGTGTGGGTTTTTTTCCAAAAAATGGTGACAGCAATCTGTTTTTCCTTAACAATATCTTTGCAGTTTTATTAGCATTCTGTTTTCTGCTTTCTTTTGTTTTGTCAGATTCTAAGGTTCCACTGTATGAGTCCAATGGAGGAAATTGGCTGGTTTTTTAATTGTGTCAATTTAATCAGTTTACCTTTGCATTCCAAGGGCCCGAGTGATGCCATTTTCCAGCAATGTATGTGTTTGGATGTTCTTGTGTTTTTTCCAGTGTCAATCAAAGCCTTGCACCCAGCATCACATACATGAAATCCCTCTTCTCTGATATCTCCTTCCTAGCCACTGATGTAGTGATGGTGATAGAGAGCATTTCCAGTTCAGTATTGGAAAGGTTGGCCTGTTTCACACCTCCTGTACTTCCCGTCAGAGATTTCCTCTAAGTGAAAAAATTTCATTTCCTACCTTCTGACAGCAAATGAAACTGATCTGTCTCTGCAGCAGAACACTCTACAATCTGTTATTCAGTAAGAGGAATAGTGTTAACTCATACTTCCCCCCACCCAAAGGTGCCCTCCAGATGAATTGAGATTACACCTCCCCACACCCCATCTAATAAGGCTGTGCTAATCTGTAATATCAAAATATCAACGCAGTATCAGGTTGAAGATATTGCTTTGATGTCTAGTTGTCAAGCATAAAAACACATAAACTCAACTCAAGAGCATCAATACCATTCACTCTGTCTGTCTGTCTGTCTGTCTGTCCGTCCGTCCGTCCGTCCATCCATCCATCCATCCATCCATCCATCCATCCATCCATCTATCTATCTATCTATCT